TTTCTGCCACCATCACTCCCCCCACTGGCCCTAGAGAAGCTGAATGTTGGCTGGTACCTGCTCCCTTCTCCTCCTCCCCTTCTCACCTCTCCTCTTTCCTTCTCTCTCTCTCTCTCTCCCCTCCCTCTTTTCCTCTCTCTCTTTGGCAGTTATTAAAAGATTAAATTGACCCTAAGACCCAACAATTCCACTGCCACCTGTTTACCCAAAGCAGTGAAAACACGCGCACCCGAAGACTCACACGAGAACACTCACAGCTGCTCTGCACGTAACCCCCCAGCTGGCACCGTCCGACATTTACTGTGCTGAACAAACTGGGACTGCTCCATACAAACGACTGCTGCTCAGCGGCAAAAAGGGTACAAACAATAGCAAGAATTAATCTCCAAACACTAGGCTGTGGGGGTGAAGTGAGCCTGACACAAAAGCTACACACTGGATGATCCATTTGTGTGAAATTCTAGGGCAGGACGGGAAGCAGATGAGGAACTGCCAGGGCCCAGAGCCCAGGGGAGGGGCTCAGGGGATGTGAAGGGGTGAGAGGGAACTGTCTAGAGTGATGGGCATGTTCTATATCTTGATTGTTGTGGGGGTAAATACTTGTCAAAACTCATTTAAACTAAACACTTGCAAATAATCATTTTATCCTGTATGAAATAAAATAATTGAATAAAAGTTTTGTTATTGTTTTGAAGAGCAGTTTATCCCAGCTTCCCTGAGTGGGCGGCACAGTTCCGCCTGGACACGGAGGCTGGAATGAAGGGCGTCCAGGCTCACGCGTCCAGCACAGGCTGCTGAGGTGGCACAGCAGGCCCACTGTGTCAGACCAAAGTGTCGCTCCAGCCCCGAGTTCTGATCTGCCTCTGGTCCCGAGCCCCAGCCCGCACAAACCGCCCTTGCCTCTGTGACTTGTGCATTGTGACACTTCTGTTTCTTCATCAGGCTCTTCTCTTTGACTTCAACACCCCTGCCCCACCTCCTCTGCTAGGAAAGTTCCATGCATCCTTCAAAGCCCGACTCAAGTGTTCCTGCCCAGGTTCTCATTCTAGTTGCCCTGGTCCTACCGTATTAGAACCTATTTGCTGTCCTCACACAAGTCTGTAATCTCCTTGAGGCTAAGGACAGTGCCATATTTCCCTCTGCCTCACCCCCCTTTAGGGGTGCTAGGTAGCGCATCCCTAAACATAGCAACAAAATGTTCTTGAATGCCTGCTAAGCAGTATGGTAAGTCAAAATAAATTTGTTGAATAGATTCTCACGGCCTCCCTAAGAAATAGATGTTTTCCTCCCCAACTTGCACATGAGAAAAATGTGACTCAGAGAATTTGGGCAATGATGCTAAACTTTTGTGTTTTTATATAGATATTTATTTATTTATTTTTAGAGAGACAGGAAGAGGAGAAAGAGAGGGAGAGACACATCGACATGCTGTTGTGCTCTGACTGGGAATCAATTATAAGTAACCTTTTGGTTCAGAGGCCGGCGCTCAGTCCACTGAGCCACACCAGCCAGGGCTGATTCTTGAGATCTTAAAGGCAGGACGTGGCAGACTTAAATCTAAGGTTTCAAAGCCTGTGTTCTACCTACATTCAGTCAGGCAACAAACACCAAATGTGTGCTGTGAGCTAGGCACTGTCCTAGGCTCAGAGGGTGGGGCAATGAATGAAGCTTGAGAAAAGCTCACCAACAGTGGAAAATATATACTGGATGGAAATGTGAATGAATGAATGAATGAATGAATAGAAGCTGCCTTCTCCTCTGCCGTCTGCACCAGCAAGCACCAGGATGTGCAGCAGGTACCCACCTTTTCTTTGCCCTCAATACCCCTCCCTCCACCTCCTTTGCTAGGCAAGTTCCATGCCTTCATGCATCCTTCAAAGCCCCACTCAAGTGCGCCTCTTTTGCCTCTCATTTAAAGAGTTCCTCCCTTCACCCCAGAGGGACCAAATCCTCAGAACCTCGGTGCACCGCACCTCAAAGGAGACAGCCAGCTGTGAATGGAAGGGAATGGTTTGGCGGTAGACTTTCAGCCACAGCTGTGTTTTGTATTTTATTTTATTTTTTAAAAGATTCTATTTCTTTCTAGAGAGAAGGGAAAGGAGGTAGAAGGAGAAGGAGAGAAACATCTGATGTGTGAGCTATACATGGGTCGGTTGCTTCTCACATGCCCCCAACCAAGGACCTGGCCTGCAACCCAGGCATGTGCCCTGACTGGGAATTGAACCAGTGACCTTTCAGTTTGCAAGCTGGCACTCAGTCCATTGAGCCACACCAGCCAAAGCTGTGTTTTGTATTTTAAAATACAAAAATCTGGTTGATTTTATTCACTAGGTTTAGGCAAGCACTGTTTGCGTTTTTGCTAGAATTTGAGTTGGACTATGTGGCCACCGTACATTTGAGCAAAAATTAATGTTCCGTGTCAGTTTAGAAATTTAATGTCTCTGTTGGTGCCTAGAACACAGCTGGAATGTAGCGGATACCCAGATATTTGTCATAAATAAGTTTTTCCATTTTTTCTTTATTGCTATTATTTTAAAATTTTATCACAAGTTGCCAACAGCACATTAGTTTTTCTTTTCCCCATCCTGTTCTGTAGCTTCCTTGGCTCTTTGTGCCTGGATGCTGAAGAGCCAGGCATTGACATGGGCCATGGGAAGACGGGCAAAAGCCTTGACATTCTAGAATTAAAACTACATAAAACAAAAAAATACATCAACCAAAATTAAAAATGGGATGGAACCAAATTTCAACACCTTTTCCACATTAAATAATGGATTTTCATTTATTTGTGCTTTATCTCTAAGTGGAGACAATAAATAAAATTTGTTTTTAATTCTCTGTTATTAAATGGTTTCCTTTAACTTAGTCAACATTTTGGGCCTGTTGTCTTTTAGGGTAATCTATAAGATTACCTGTATCTATTTTAATTGATCAATATCCTTGGATTTTACCCTATATAATTCTTTCGAATTGTTCTTACATTTCTATTTAATAAAGAAACAAATATATCGAACTAGCTACGGTACAATATCTTAATTATTCACACCCCAAAAAGACACTGATACTTATGTGATATAATAGAGGTACTAATGCTGCAATGACACTCACATTACAATATGTAAATGTATAATGTTGTACATTTTAAACTTACACAATGTTATAAGCCAAATATATTTCAATAAAAATGAACAAATCCTTATTTAGAGAGATTTTATTGACTTATTTTTAGAGATGGGGGAAGGGAAGGAGAAAGGGAGGGATAAAAACATTGATGTGCTGAAGAAACATTGATTGATTTCCACTCGCACACCCCTAAACAGGGACCTGGCCTGCAACCCAGGCATGTGCCCTGACTGGGAATTGAACTTGCCACCCTTTGGTTCACAGGCCCATGCTCAATCCACTGAGCCACATCAGCCAGGGCTAAAACTATATTTTTAAAATGGGTACACTTAAAGTTGATTTTTAAAAATCCACTCTGTTCTCACAAACACAAAAGAACATTACTGTGTAAGGTGATGGATGTGTTAACTGACCTTACTGTGGTAATCATCTTCCAATATATACATATATCAAATCATTATGGTGTACACCTTAAACTTGCACAGTGTTATATATTAAATATATCTCAATAAAGCTGAGGAAAAAATTCCTGTCACCAGAAAGATCCACTCTGTATCATGCAAAACAGTGAAGGAGGAAGTTCTAGGAGTCAGTTGCTCCTCCACTGAAGCAAACTTTAAATGGGAAAGAACAATTATAATCAACAATTTCCAAACTCTGGAAACTAACCAAACATGTATAACAACCAAGAGAGTGCTTGAGAGGGAGGGCCCCCTGATTTTTCATAACCAGTGTACACAAAACAGCTATGCTGCCTATTCCTCAGCCCCCACTGGGACTGTGAGGAGAGCAGCCTGTGCTCTGGGAGTGGCTGGGCTGGTGCCAGAATGGTCAGGGGCAATCTTGGCTTTAAATATCTGGACTTATGAAAAGTTGTGGGTTGAGCATTTGGATTGGTCTGGTAGTTTTCTAAGGGACTAGTGCAGACTATGCCTTGGTTTTGCTCTCCTGAGGCAACTCACTTTCTAACATCCTCCCGTGCTTTGTCCAGCGCCTCCACGCTGTAGACGCTCCCTCCCATGAGTCACTTAGTAGCTGTCTCTGTTATCAGATCGACTGTCTGGGTATCGCAGAGTTGGACTTCAAGTATCCCTTTTTTTCACTTAATAATGGCCCCAAAGCGCAAGAGTACTAATGCTGGCAATTCGGATATGCCAAAAAGAAGCCAAAAAGTGCTTCCTTTAAGTGAAAGGTGAAAATTCTTGACTTAATAAGGAAAGAAAAAAAAAAAACAAACACTGTGCTGAAGTTGCTAACATTTACAGTAAGAATGAATCTTGTGTCCGTGAAATTGGGAAGGAAAAAGAAATCCGTGCTAGTTTTGCTGTTGCACCTCAGACTGCAAAAGTCACTGCCACAGTGCGTGATAAATGCTTAGTTAAGATGGAAAAGGCATTGTTTGTGGGTGGAAGACATGAACAGAAAATGTGTTCCGGCTGCCAGGCCGCCCTGGGGATCCCCGGCCTTTGCCGCGTCCCGGTCTCGCATTTTGGAGGGAATCGCCAGTGCAGGTAGCTGAAGCCGGCTGGAGCTCCACAGGGAACCGGCGGGAGCCACCACCCGCCTAGATTTTGGCCCCTGCTCCGCTCCCCTATTCGAGCGGCCGACCAGGTCCCAGGTGCAACCTTGTACTGGATCCCACCACCCCGTGCCTCCACTCACAGTTCTTGCAGAAAGGGTCTAGCGCCGTATTCCTGGCGTCCCCCGGCTCGGGTTCGCTTGCGCGAGGCTTTCTGGGAGTTGTAGTCCACTGCCCCCTCCATCTGGTTAAGGGGCACAAATCAGAAACTACAACTCCAGCTGGGCGGTGTAGCGGGTGCACAAGCGTCTCAAGCATTCTAGGAAGGAAAAAAAAAGAGGCGGGTGAGAGAGAAAAGCTTGGAGAGCAAAGAATGGGGACCACTGATCGCCAGTCCCCCCAACCCGCTTCGCCTCACGCGTTCTCTAGCCGTGGCCGCTCCCCCGCCGCGGTTCCCCCGGCCCCTCTCAAGGTCCCGCGCGATTGGATCTAGGCGCTAAGCGAGGCTCTGTCAGAGCGGCCGTGCAGCGGTGACTGAAGCTCGGCTGAGACGCACGGGCCCTCGCCCTCTCACCTCCTGCCCGCTAGTCACCTCGCCTCAGCCTGAGGCTGCTTCGCCGCGGCCACAGCTTGCGCACCGCTCACACTCGCTTTCCTTCAGCACCCCTACCCCGGCGCTGCCTGGAGGCGGCTGCACTCGGGTGAGTCCCAGTCGCCTCATTCCGCATCCCCCACCCCAGGTGCCATCGCGAGTGGGGTCTTTATTTGAGACTGCCCCCCCGGGGCCTGCACGGAGAAGAGTTTAGGGATTATCGGCGACCGAGTTGGGGTATCCCGGTTCCCCAACCCCCGGCGGCTGGCGTTGGGGGTGGGGCAGGAGCGGACGCGGTCGCGGGGCCGACAGTTGCTTGCGCGCGCCTCGGTACTCATGGGGAAGGGGCGCGCGCGCCGGCGCCGTGTTATGGTGGGGGGGGTCTCACGCGTGAGGCCCGGGCGCGGGCGAGCCTGCGGCTGCGCATGCCCAACTGCTGATTGGCCGGCTCGGGCGCTGAGGGTGCGCGCCGTTGTGCCAGGCTCAAGCTGTGGGGTCGCGTTTTGCCGGGTATCTCTAGGGCTGGAGCGCCCGGGGAGCAGACTCTCCGTATTGGCCGCGGAGCGGCGGGGGCGGGGTCGGCGCCTGGGGACTTGATAATTTCGGCCGGCGGGCGGGCGGGCTGGCGTGCGTCGCCCCTCCCCGTTCTTCTCCGCCTTCGCCCAGGTGGAACCCTGAGTGGGCTTTGTCCTCGCCCGGCGGGTTTCGTTGGGGGAAATAAACACAATGACCGGAAGGAAAACCTCAGCCTTCAGGCCACGAATATAAGCCGTCTGTATTGGGCCAGCACCCAGGCGGGTTTCAGGGGAGGAAGAAGAAAAAAACTGTCTTCTTTGCCTTTCCTCCCCACTACATATTTGCATATCCAAGTTTTTCCTTTATTAAAGCGAGGCTTTTAAATTTATTTACTTATTTTTTAGTGTTATGGTTTTGTGCTAATTTGCGGCTGCGAGTTCAGATGTCGGGTCCAGTTCAAGTAGTGCTCACTTCTGCAGATGCGGGGCCCGGTGCAGACTTCTCACCGTTTCTGCTTTCAACTTTGCTGCAGACAATGGATTGATGGATGGGCCACAGTGGCTAAGAGTAGTCTCTGGGAGCTAAAGAGACAAAAGGGGAAGCTAGTTTGCAAATGAGAATGTTCAGGAGACTGCCGAGAGGAGGCAGGGTTTTCACTCCTTCTCCCCGAAGCCTATCATTTTGGGATGACTAGTTTTATTTTCTATTACAGTAGACATCCCTCCCCCCGCCCCCCCCCCCATTCATGGTTTTGCTTCCTGTGGTTCCAGTTGAGGTCAGAAATGGAAAATTCCACAAATGAACAATTCGTAAGTTTTAGATTTCTTGCGCTGTTCTGGTTAGAGTGATGAGGTCCTGCTCTGTTCCTCTGGGGTGTGAATCATTCCTTTGTCCAGTGTATGCACACTATATGCGCCACCAGCCACTTATCAACTCTTGGTGTACAGTGCTGGTGTTCGACTAACACTTATTTTCCCTAATTATGGCCCTGAAGGGCAAGAATAGTGATGCTGGCAATTTGGTATGCCAAAAAGAAGCTGAAAAGTGCTTCCTTTAAGTGGAAAGGTGAAAATTCTTGACTTAATAAGGAAAGAAAAAAAAAAAAACCCTGTGCTGAAGTTGCTAAAATCTATGGTAAGAACAAATCTTCTATCTGTGAAATTGGGAAGAAGGAAAAAGAAATCCGTGCTAGTTTTGCTGTTGCACCTCAGACTGCAAAAGTTACTGCCACACTGCGTGATAAATGCTTAGTTAAGATGGAAAAGGCATTAGGTTTGTGGGTGGAAGACATGAACAGAAAATGTGTTCCGGTTGACAGCACTGTGCTGCCCCAGAAAGCACTGAGCCTATACGAAGACTTCAGCAAGGGACCCTCTGAAAGGAGCGACACCAAGCCATTTACTGCGAGTAAGGGGTGGTTACACAGATTCAGGAACAGGTTTGGACTGAGAACTGTAAACACTGCAGAGCCTGTGCCTGCTGTTGGAGAAGCTGCTGCCACATTCCCCTCAGAGTTGAAGCTGGTCAAGGAGGAAGGTATGTATGTACTAACAAAACATAGTGCATACAAGGTTTGGTAATGTCTATGGTTTCAGGTGTCCCCTAGGGGTCTTGGAGTATATACCCTGTGCCTAAGGGGGCCTACTGTAAATGTTTTTGCTTTGTCCGTTCTTAAGGTACTGTAGTCTACTGCCTTGTGCTTTCCTTTAGCCTGCTTCTCAGTATCTTCATTCACACTGATACAGAAAACCTTTGTTCTCCTGACCCCCAAGCACCCCGGGGAAGAGCTAGCCGGCCATTTAAGAAAGCAAATAACAGGATGTTCCCAAGGACTAAGATAAGCCCCATAGCCAGAACTAATTTCTGTATCCCGCATTCCACTTCTGTATCCCGCTTTGCCATGTAGACAGGAAGACCCTGCAGGCTATATAAACCCCAAAAACCCTTTGTTTGGGGCTCAGAATTTGGAGACTGACTCCTCTGAGCCCGTGCACATAATAAACTTCTCGTGTTTTCCGCTATCTCCTATCGGTGTGAGTTTCTTCCCACAACATTTGGTTCCCTGACCGGGAATCTAGCTCACGTGAAGCAGGCATTTGCCTCCGGTGAGGATAGCAGGGGTTCGGTGGGGAGACCCAGTTGCGAGGGGAGGAGCACATGCCCTGGTGATTTCGGGCCTCCTGGTAATGGGGGACCTTTTCGCCGCACCCTTGACTGCTCCAAACCCGGGTGAGACCGGAGAAGCGGACCACAACCTGTCACAGGCCCCAAATCGGTAAGTGCCCCGGGGACCAAAGCCAAGACCGGAAAGAGGCTGATCACCTGTCAAGTCAGAAATTTGGTCGGAGTCAAGCCCAGTCCTACCGCTGGACCCTCACTCAGGGAGGGAAATGTTTTAAATTCTGTGTGTCTGAGAGTGAAAGTGAGAGTGTTTGTGTTTGTGGCCCCACAGGTGAAAACCTACGGAGCAAGATTGGGCCCCAACCTGCGGCTTCTGTGTCAGGTCATAGGGCTAACGGCTGGCAATTAACCCTGAATTCTGGGGCAGCCTTAGCTAAGACCGACTTGGCCCCGCGAGGGGGCAGACCAGGCGGGTGAGCGAGTAAACTGCACCCTTTGTGTGTCTGCACTGAGTGGGAGGAAAACATGGGAGGTCGGCCGTCCACCATCTTAGACTGTATGCTTCAGAATTTTGATCGGTTCCAGGGGTAGGACCCCTCAACAGACCCAGGACAATTAGAAACTTTCTGCTCATAAGAATGGCCCACTTTCGGGGTAGGCTGGCCCCCCAAGGGAACTTTGAACCTGAGTGTTATTAGGGCAGTACATTTAATTGTTACTGGGAAGCCAGGACACCCCGACCTATATATATATGTATATATATATATATATGCAAGAGTTACATATATATATATAGCAAGAGTTAGCACAGGATATGCCAAAATGGCTCCATCAGTGCGCCAGAGTAGGTCCGAAGAAAACAGAGACTGCGGGCCACAAGAAGAAGTCCAAAATGTACTGTGGGAAGGGGGCCTCGTGACCCCAGACCCGTGTCCTCGTGGCCCGAGGACTGAAGCATCCCATATATCAGGGGCACCCCAGGATGACTTAGTGCCATTCCCACCCCCATATCTCAGGCCTCCGCCTGTGGCGCCAGTCGGCCCCGACACACCACCCCTGTCCGTTGCGTCGGAGGCCGACCATTCCACCTCAGGATCTGCCTCAGCCGGAGGCGGCGCAGCCGCCCCCGCAACCACTGCAGTCTTCCCCAATAGTGGGCTGGCTCAGACACCACCAGGCCTTGCAGATGCCCCTCTGAGAGGCTCAAGGCCCGCCACAACTGGGAGACGATGGGACTCTCAGGCCTGGACCAGTAGTTTTCTATTATCAGCCCTTTACAACCACAGACCTTTTGAATTGGAAACACCATACTCCCCGGTATTCGGAGAAGCCCCAGGCGCTGATAGACCTTATGGAATCCATTATGCAGACCCACTGGCCGACCTGGTTTGACTGCTGTCAGCTCTTGTTAACCCTTTTCAACACGAAGAGCAGCAGAAGATCCTTTAGGAGGCCCATCATTATCTAGACACTCACGTCTCAGCGGGTGTCTTAGACCCCCTACGATATGCCCCAGAAGCGGTCCCCGAAGCCCAGCCGGACTGGGATCATAACACTGAACAGGGCAGGGTGGCTCTTGAGCGATATTGAGAAGCTATCCTACAGGAAGTCAGATCCGGAGCCAGGAAACCTACTAATATGGCCAAAGTCTCTAGCATAATGCAGTGGGCCGATGAGTGCCCTGGGGACTTCCTAGAACAGCTGAACGAGGCTTACTGGATCTATACTCCTTTCGATCCCGAGAGCCCTGAAAGCCAGCGGGTGGTCAATATGGCTTTCGTTGCCCAGTCAGCCCCCGATATTCACAGGAAGCTCCAAAAATTAGAAGGCTTTGCAGGCATGAACATCAGCCAGCTGGTAGAAGTGGCAAATAAGGTCTACAACAACCGAGATCAGGTGGCAGAGCAGGCCGCTGTAGAAAAGCAAAGAAAAAAGGCAGCCCTCCTAGCTGCCGCCCTAGCAGCCCCAACTTCAGATCTCCAGAAAAAGGGGCAGAAAGGCCATTTTAAGGTTGAGAAAGACCAGTGTGCCTACTGTAAGGAAAAGGGAAATTGGAAGTGAGACTGCCCAAACTGCAAGAAGAAAGAAGGGCCAGTAGCACCCCCAGCCCCTAAGATCCACAGCCTTGCAGGCCTAGACCTTGAGACTGAGTGAGGAGGACTGGGCTCACTGAATCTAGGCCCCCACAAGCCCATGCTCCGAGCCAAAATGAGGGGCCAACCCTTGACTTTTATGGCAGACACTGGGGCTGAGCACTCGGTTGTCACCACGCCAATAGCCCCCACCATCTGGCTGGGAAATATCAATCGTGGGACAACCCGGCAGTCCGAAGGACCAAAGAAATTCTGCCAAGCCTGAACTCTTAAACTAGGAGGACACCAGGTCCGCCATGAGTTCCTCTATCTCCCAGAATGCCCAGTGCCACTTTTAGGCCAGGACATACTAAGCAAACTCTCAGCTGGGGTGGCCTTC